GTAATTGATAAATGCTTTAGGTTAGGTATTTATTTTAGGTTAATTTTGTTGGTTAATTTTATGGTAATTGGTAAATGTTTTACTTTAGGGATTTTAGGTTAATTAAGTTGGTTAATTTCTAATTTCCAACTTCAATTAGTAGTTATTTAGGTTAATTTTGTGGTAATTAGTAATTGGTAAATGCTTTAGGTTAATTTTGTGGTAATTAGTAATTGGTAAATGCTTTAGGTTAGGTATTTATTTTAGGTTAATTTTATGGTAATTGGTAAATGCTTTAGGTTAATTTTGTTGGTTAATTTTGTGGTAATTGATAATTGGTAAATGCTATAGGTTAGGTATTTTAGGTTAATTTTGTTTATTAATTTTGTGGGTAATTTTGTAGGCAATTAGGCATTTCCAAAAAAAAATTTCTGCGTCCGCCACTGGTTTGCGATATGGACAGGGTCATGCATTTCCAAAAAAAATTGTCGGGAGTGCCCCCTACAATATATTTTTCTGCGTCCGCCACTGTGTGCGACATCAGCTTCTTCAATAAGATCTCACGCTGTTTGCTTACAACTTGGTTGAAACCCAAACCTCCATTTGCAGTAAACTTGTTCCGATTGCAGTCAATTGCATTCTTTTCTCGGGTTATAAAGATTTCATCACGGTTCCTTGATGCCGTGCTTTTTGGGCATTTCAAACACTAAGAGCACGAGCACCATGGAGGTCAAGTCTCTTCTGACTTCCATTCTAAATTTAAGCAACCACTTGTTTCTCTCAGCAAATGGCAGCTTTGACAAAGGGATAATATGAACAGGTGATGCAATAAGACCATCAGGCAATGCAGATCTCAACTCCATCCATTTCCTCTTGGAATCAGTTGAAGCCCCATTATCAGATATATTCATATGGCACAATCCAGAAGTAGCAGCTTTGTCTGATTCGATGGTGGAAAGAAATCCACCAGAATAAGCATCAGGAAGTGTGTCCTTTGCCATAATTCTACTAACACCTTACACCAAATGCAAAATTCTATCGATTAAAAAGTGTCAAATTCTTCTTCTTCACGTCTTGGAAGTTCATGAAAGACCGGTTAAACACCGTCAAACCGTCAATTAATACGGTTGAAATTGGGTTACGCATAACTCAACCCAACCACAAATTAAGTTAATAATACAAATATATATATATACACACACACACACTCACAAAGACACACATACACGCAGTGGCCAAAGGAAAAACCCTGATCTTACCGCCAAGAACCTCTCGTGTTCACAGAGACATAATTTCCTATACGAACACTTCAGCTAGAAAACGAAGCTTAATTCAGATCCAAAACATGACTTATGAACTAAATAGCAGTGGAAGTAAAATATCTTTGCAGAAATTGCAGTTCACGAATTTGAAGAACGTAGAATTCCAAACTTCAAACCCTAGTAAATGAACTCGGTGAGAGCGACAGATGATGGCGCTGAATTTTTCCGATAGGTTCGATCAACGAGCACTCCGTCGTCCGGCGATCAGAGGTGAATGCTTCCAGCCCTTTTGGGGAGAGGCAAAGCGATGCAGCGCTCCTTCTTTCTTGGGGAGTTTTATAGTGTGAGGATATATTCGCTCTCATCAACTTTCTATAGATCAAGTCCGTTGATTAACGTCGACTTCAGAATCAACGGTGTCAATCACCCTTCAGTTCTAGCCAATTATTGTGGGCCACGTCAATGGCGTGTTGCTTTTTCCTACAACTATGATGCGGTTCTAGGTTTAGTCCCTTTACTTTAAAAAGTTACTAAATTAACCCTGTTATTATCTTTTTTAGTAAGGATTTAGTCCTATATTCTTGATACATATTTGAGCAAATTGTTGTAACAGAAATCTCACACGGAACCATATGTGTGGAAGTGATTCATATATGACTCAACAGTTAAGATTAACGGACGGTTCAAACTCATTTCTCGAAGAATACAAACTTAAGGGTCGTTTACTAAACGCTTACTTGGTAAGTGTTTACCGAATAAATTTTCTTATCGGATGAACATGACAAATACCAAGAATCCTACCAGGTAAGGTGAGAAGAATAGAGAGTCTTACCTGGTAAATAAATATTACGACTCTTACCCAGGTAAGCGCTTACCCGGTAAATTGTTGCATTCAATACGTTTTGATGTACTAAAATCTTACTCATCCAAATAAATTATAGTGTGGAGTCCTATGTGTAAACACTTACCGGGTAAGCATTTAGGTAAACAGCTCTTTAAACTTGTTGTGTATAATTGAATACAGTCGCTATGTCCGTTTATCAATTAAGCTACACACCCGTTGACCGTTACTTATACATATATTCTTATCCTTGCTTTGTTTGCCAAGTATTTTTGAATTTACATTTTTTAAAACATGTGTTTGACCTATTAAAATATATAATAAATGGTTTATTTTACAAAAGAAAATTAATTAAAATAGTCATTTTTTGTCGTTTAGCTACGTCCGCAAACTGCGGACTTGAACATTGCGAACATAGTGACATTCATGTAATTATTGGAGATAGATGGTTTAAAAGATGAAACCTTGTAGCCAAAATGACTATTTTAATTAATTTTTCTTCACAGACCCATCGTTACTATATAAAAATACACCATACTGGTATATGTAAATACATATACGACATATATATATATATATATATATGGGCACGTTCAAATAAAAATCGTGCATTTCTAAGAAATCGTGTAAACCAATTTCGATCAATAGAAAAATTCTTTTTTTTTCTAATTAAATTTAATCAATAAGAGTATTTCGATCATTTACAATATTTTCTATTAAATATAGAAGTTATTAATAAATCTTAATTAAGAAAACGTAATAAAGAAAATTGTATAAATGGTAACATTTAAATATTAAATTATATTAAAATATTAAAATTTTGGATTTTATATATTGTCATGAGTTATAATCAGGAAATGTGTCTTGATGAAACAATTGAATTATATAATGAAATCATCAAAACGTAGATGAACAAAAAAAATCCACAAAATGAAACATGTTTCATGAACGTGAAACCGGTTCATGTTGCAAAGAAATTAGGTGAACCGAAACATTTTTATGGTGAACCCGTCGCATTGATGGTGTAGTTAATCTTTTTTTATGAGAAGCAAAATGAAAACTGTGCATTTTGAAAAAAAATTATGAAAAGGAAAATGAAACARGTTTCATGAACGTGAAACCGGTTCATGTTGCAAAYAAATTAGGTGAACCAAAACATTTTTATGGTGAAACCGTTGCATTGATGGTGTAGTTGATCCATTTTGTTGATGAAAAGGAAAATGAAACCGGTGCATTTTGAAAATAAATTATGAAAAGGAAAATGAAACAGGTTTCATGAACGTGAAACCGGGTCTTGTTGCAAATAAATTATGTGAACCGAAACATTTTCATGGTGAAACCAATTTCGTTCATATAATATAATTCAAAATTTAAAACGATTCACTCCATATAATTGAATATAGTGTGTTATATTAATTTTTTTTATATGTGATTTAAAGTTAAAAATAATATATTGTTTTAAAAAATGAAAATAGTGTCATTAATATTGAGAATGATGTTACCAAATGTTAAATTTTGTTTACCATTTTTGTCTTTACTGTTGAAATAAAATAAAATTTTAATATATATATATATTTTTAATTTCCTAAAATAAAATAAACGAATCTTGGTCATTGATCAAGAAAATGGATGGATGAGATTGGTTTACATGGTTTACATAAAATGAAACATGTTTTTATTTGAACACTCCTATATATATATATATGTATGTATGTATGTATGTATGTATGTATGTATGTATGTATGCAGTTTTGAACCATAATGACATACATATAGTCATTGCACCAATTTTTTTTCTAATAATGTTAGCTTCGCTAGTTATAACGCATTTTAGTAAACTCATACTTGTATTTTCAACTATCATTACTACATATAAACTTTTTTTATTATTAAACATCGTGTATTATTTGTTGACGTAAATACCTTAGAATTCAAGCTCACAAGTTATTATAGCATATATAATTTCTTAAAACTTCATATTTGAACTAAATAGAACTAACCATAACTAGCGGATAAATCACATAAATTGACTTTCTATTTAAAAATCTAAATTATATTGAACATAATAGTATATTCACATGTGAATATGTATACAGTTTATTAAAGCAACACATTGAACTGTATAAAACTATTTGATAAAACGCTAAAACTATATTAATATAACATTTTACCTTGTATAATTGATGACTATCTCGTTATCTTGAAACCAAACATAACCATAAAAATCAAAACAAAAGTGATATAAAACTGAACAAATCATGAAACAAGATTCAAAGTTTGAATTCATATAGGATGGCAATGTATTATACAAGCCAATAAGGCAATGATTTTGCGACTTTTAACATTGACATTTGCATTGTTTCATATTATATAGGTTTTACTGCATTTACCATTGAGTGGTTCGATTGGAATTGAGTGGTTCAGTTGAATTAAAAGATGGGAGCATGGAATCAAGTAACGAGTTTGTAATTTCACTCATCATTCACATGGTTGAGATCATAGCTAATTCAACATAACAACATACAACCAAAGGGTCTTTGGCCTAGTGGTATGTGAGTCATTGACCTCCTAGCATGACAAGGGTTCAAACTTCATCAAATGTGAGGAGTGTGTGTGAATTTTTTTTGTTCTATTTGTCTTATATAAATATTATATACTTAAAAAAAAACATAACAATATATAATTACAAATCGCACACACACGTTTTTGGGCAAGATTGTTTGATAAATGACGAGAGTTCGATTTAGCTTTGAACACAAGAAATTAGGGGTCCACATGGGTTGGGTTGTTTGGTTTGACAACATTTAACAACCCAATCTAACTAGTGCGGCTTGAAAAATCTTAATCCGTTAAAAATAAATATATAAAATCAAAGCATAATCTAACCCAAACCCAAAATGTGACGTTTGGATTGGTCGAGTTTAACCCAACTTCTACCTACAGGGGCAAACATACGTTACGAAAAACATGAGTCTAATTAAAAAAGGGGGGTAAAATGGTCATTTTGTCATTTATTCATCGAGCACAACAAGTTAGCTTAATTACATACAATCCATACAAACAAACAAATAAACAAACAACCTAACTCGTTTTATTGGTTATATTTTATTGAAACTAGGCATGTTTTATATCTGCTTCTTATATATTGCTTTGTCTAGCCTTGCATTAAATACACCGTTTCCTAGTTATAATCTTGCCCATTCTTGTGACAACATAGAGTGATTTTTGTATGTTGGTTCTAAACCATTTGCGAGTATGTCAAAGATTTTACTGAAACAATAGTAAGTCTTGTTTCTCATGTTACTTGGGCATTTAAGGTTTTAATGGAATTTGATCAGTTACATTTTGAGAATAGTTACGTTGGACATGTTCATGAGCCTTATGAGTATTTACCGCTCTTTGCTCATGGCTTAGTTATCTAAGCTACGATTGTCCAATTTAGCTATGATTTACTGGATACTTTTTTAATTTACAATGTTTTTCTAATCTCGTGGCCTCTTTAGGTTATGAGTTTTTATGGGTTTCTTCTGTGTTAGCATGCAGAGGCAAACCTACAGCCAAGGGAGAGGGGTTTTGAGCACCGTTGCTCAACCTAAAATTGAAAGGAGAAAGTTTTTTGGGGTATGAAAGGTACACCTATTAAAGATTGAGGGGTGCTACAAGATATTTGAGAAATAGAAGGAGTAAAGGTGCACCGAACTTAAAAATGAAGGGACAAACTTAAAAACTTCATTTTTCAGGTATCATTTTTGTGAAATATGCAAGTAATTAAGCAAAATTGCAAAAACATAAAGATAGAGGGCCAAACTATAATTTCTGATTTTCTTTTTTAAGGAGTTGTTTATTTGGTTGTTAATGGTGATATTAAGAACCAACTTCTTAATCGATAAGATATGACATTAAGAGTTAACTTCTTAATCAGTAAAAGATAAGGGTTGTTTGGAAAAAAAAAAAACATCTTAATGATTACAAAAGGCTCTTAACGATTTAGGGGCTAGGCTCCCCTAAATAATTCAGAGGGTTTCTTCAATCTTTGTCCTCTCTTAATTATTCTAACCACTTAACCATTCGGCAACCGTCAACAATACGTGAGCGCGTCTTTCAAAGTCTTAAAAACTAAAATTTTTAAACAGGCGCCGAGCTCTCATATCTGCCCTTCTTCCCCCTCACACTCTGCTCAGCACCCACAGCGCCCAGCGCCCTCACCTCTGTTCGGCGATCTAATCAGTTCTCTTAGGATCTCACACTCCTCGGCCACTCTCTCAATCTCTTATTCAGGTTTTGTCCTAAAAGCTAACTTAAATTTAAATTTTTGTCCTAAAATTTGATATTAGTCATTTGCCCTAAATTGATTAGTTATAATGGTATATAGTTATGTTTACATGATTTTAAATGATTTTTTTACATGATTTATTTGTTTGTTTTGAGTTTTTAAACTTGAATTATTGAGTTTTGATTTTTGACTTACATTTTTGCCCTAGATTTGCCTTATATCTATTGAATTGATGTTAATTTTCTTAACTTAATTTTAGTTTTCTCAACGTTAGTTGTTGTATTGTTGATGTTAATTTGTTGAATCAATCTAGGGTTCTTTAAGTTCGGTTTGCTAATTTTAATTTGTAAAGCAAAGCATCCTATTTAGTACTAAAATCCTAGATGCATAAAGAAACAAAATTTGAAACCTAGAAGAAAAAAAGTAAATGATAACGGGAATCAAATCCTTAAAGTTGAGAAATTATACAAAATCAACCCAAAAAACTGAATAAGTCCCTTGAAATCAACTAAAACACCGAAAAATTCTCTGGAAAATAAGCAAAAAGAACCAAAAAAAGTCCCTCGAAATCAACCATAAAACTTAAAAACACTCCTCAAAATCAATCAAAAAACTTTAAAAAAATCCCTTGAAATCAACCAAAAAGCCTGTAAAATCCCTCGAAGGAGGAATTCGGCTAAAATCAGATCGAATGGTTTTGCGGGGATTTGATTCAATTTAAAGGTGCAGTGGTGCACAAGCTCAACAAAAATCCTGGTCCGCCACTGTTAGTATGTTAGAGTAAGTGCTTTGAATGCTGTCAGTTTTTTGTAGGTGGATTATGTCGTAGATATCTGGATTCGGGTGTTACAAATGCAGAGTGTTATGTAATCTTTATGAGCATCTTTGAAGGCTCATAATCCTTGTGTACTTTTGTTTTTTGTTACTGCTCTTATGTTTGGTATAGTTGCATAGATAGAGCTTTGGGGGTTCTATTTTATTCATGGCCAGTGCATTGCAGAGAGAAGCAAAATATGAACTTTGATGTAATGAAATTTTAAAGAACGCTTCCTTTTTGTTTGTTTGCCATAGAATTGTGGATGTTACCTGTTTGATTTATTGCTTTTGTTATTAAGATACAAAGTTAACTTTTAACTTGAATTCCTTTTCATCAATTTACATGTGTCACAAGCACACATAAACAAAGACTTGGGCCTATTCTCCTAAAGATATGTTGGAACCTTATTTATCTCCTCTCGAGAGTTCTTTTGGAGAGTAATGAAATAATCGAATGCGATTCCACATATTCTCATAGGATAAACGAAGATAAGATCTACAAATTGAGAAGGAATAACTTAGGGCCTGTTTGTTAGCAGCCCAATGAGCTTAATGGGCTCACAGCTTGTTGTTCAGTCAGCTATACATGACTGTTTGGTAGTGGCTTAATGATATAGAAAGTGGCTTATTCAGTAAGTTTCAGGGGGGGGCTTCATGCAGACATTCAAGTTTTTTTCCATACCTGCCTCTCAATAAAAAAACACGCTCATTCTGTCTATGAAAAAAACCTTTCCAAACAAAAACCTTCCCAATCTATGCAGATAGATTAATCCACACAGACAACTTTATCCATTCAAGACTAAATAGAAACCAACCAAACAGCCTCTTAGTGAAAATGGACATATGATGGAATCTTAAGGTTGTAGTTAGTTGCACTTACATGTACTCATTTCGGTGGGACATAGGTGATTTGTAGTCAAAGTTGAACATAATCGAATCCTTGAGTGAGGGAAGTCACTAATTTACTTGTTATATTTTGCTCTGTATGCTCGCTTTACATTCATTTAACAAGTGTAATTTGGGTTGTTTCCTGTTGTCTAAAGATGCAATCTTTTTTTAAATTCAGTTGTGGGGTTGGAGAACATGCATGCTTGCAATCTCACTCTGTCTAAGTTTTTGTAAGTTAATATTTCTTTTAGAGATTACTGTCTATACATTATTGAAGTTGATATTACCCTTTAGTTGAACCATATAAGAACTCATGATCATCTTTTTTTCAACCATCAACAGAAGCTGGACACCATATCCTAATACAAAACACCAGTGTGGGTATGTTTCAAAACCACACACAAAATATGATTTCCAAGCAATTATGGGATTAGGGATCCAGTTATTTATACAATTCAAATTTGCATGAAAGACACAGAAAATCACACAAGATAGTTGAAACTTTTGTTTTTTTTATTAATTATACACATGCTAATTCACTTGACAATAAGCAAGCATGAGATGTGCATTTAGGACTTCTAGGTTATCCCTAGAAAACCCCAGCCACCTGAGCAACACATGCAATTTACATTTTTTTGAGTTTTTACGTGGCTTATCCTTAAAAATCATATTTTTATATTTTTACAAATGTATGATCAAGGCCTTCAAAAAAATAATTTGCAAGGTATTGATAATGGGTGAATTCCTTATGATTTTCTGAAGTTGATTGTTGTCATGCTGATGCAGTTTCTGTTGAACAAAACCTTTTTTTGCTGTAGAAATTGTGGAACTGTAGCTGCACAACGGTTTTCATTCAATTGCTCATCCAGAAAAGTTCACATGGAAATTAATCACCACAGTGAGGCAAGAGGTGCTCTTGTTGTTTTGGAAGGTTTGGATCGAAGTGGGAAGACCTCACAGTCTGGTAGGCTCCTCTCGTACTTGACTGGTCTTGGGTATCCAGTAGAATCATGGCGGTTTCCAGATAGAGATACTGCTGTGGGAAAAATGATCTCCTCCTATCTTTCCAATCAATCTCAGTTGGATGATCACACGATTCACCTACTCTTTAGTGCAAATCGTTGGGAGAAAAGGTTAGTTTAGACCGTTTTGTTCTTCCTATCTTCTTGAAATCGCTCTTATCATATCTACTATCATATCTACTTGGTTAATCTTGTCTTGAAAACTAACTAGAATACATATTCCCACCAAGCTGTTTTGGTTGCATGTTTATTGGAAATTTCGAAAGGCCATTCCGTAGTATTCTTACATGTCTCAATTCTCATCATGTTGCAGTTGTGAAAATTCTTTGGTTCACATTTGGAATCTTACAATCTAATTTATTTCATGAAACAAATCATGGGAATCCCATTTGTGGATTGGAATCAAGCCGGTTTGTCACCAGATCAGATCATTTTTTATGGTTCTTTATTAGTTACCTTGGATTTTGCATCTTAGTCATGCTGTTTTGTGGATTTGCTGTGGAGTTTATTGGCCCAAACCTTACCTGTACCCGCATGAATAGAAATGTTCTTTTTGTTGGTATCCGATGAAGTTATAAAAATGCTGAATCGGGCAAATGCAACTGAGCAAGTCTGGTGATTAGTATAACTATATTTTGGTTTGTACATCACTAGAGTTTTTGCTTCTTCTATTTTATATTTACACATACTAATTTTACGAAAAGTTGAAGTTGAAACAAGACTATTATTTGGTTTCTGATTTACGAAACTTGTATATCCTTTATTTCTTTAGTTGACAAATTGACAACTATGTGCAACCCCTTTGTATATGTTCATAGTAGACTTCTGGGACAAGTTTCAGTCATATTAATGCTGCTTGTATGATCATTTTTAATTATTTAAATTACCCATAGCAAACCACACTAAAAGCTTGGACAGCAAAATATTTTTAGCCGTGTGTCATTAAGCATCCATCCTTGTAGCCATTATTGGAATCAGACATTATTTCTATCGTTAATGTAAGCCTCTGCAGGCTGGGGCAAGCCTATACTTGACTTATCTTTGACTTCACAACTACATCGAGGCACATTGAGCTGTCATGGCCATTGACATTTATTTATCTGCACATGCTTCTTTCTTGATAATACCTTTTGAGGTTTATGAATTGTTAAACACAATACAAAACTTCTGTTTCTGATTTAATTATTAAAACAGGAAAAACATAGAAAAAACAAACAGTGTGGAAAGGTGTTGATGTTTCTTTTTTCTATTTGAGGCATGTAGTAACTGTTGATGTAGTCAGTGAATATACTAAAGTTTTATCGATGATTTCCAGATCTTTGATGGAAGCTAAGCTTAAAAGTGGCACTTCCCTGATTGTTGACCGCTATTCTTATTCAGGGGTGGCTTTCTCAGCTGCCAAAGGGCTTGATATTGAATGGTGTAAGGTGAAAATCAAGACTTCCTCCTCTTTTCCTGGTTATGAGTGCTTTTGAAACACGTGGTTTTGATTGTTGTGCAGGCTCCTGAGGTGGGGCTGCTGGCACCTGACCTGGTGGTGTACCTTGACATACCTCCAGAGGTAACTCTTCTTAGCTACTGAATCTAACTTATAAATTATATGTATATATAGGGTTGGGTTCCGGTGAGAAGAGAAGTTATGGTGAGAAACGTAAGAAGATATTTCCCCTCTTGGATCAATCCTAATTGAATGTCGACACTAATGAGGTGCGAATCAATTATCTTCTGAAGTGCAATTCATGGGTGAGCATGAGATTGAAAGTGATCAAGGGTTTAGATCTCTTCGTATTCTTGTCACCATAACTTCCCTTCTCACACGATCCTTTGCCTATATACACACACACACATCTGTGTTTGTGTGTGTTTATGTTTATGTTGATAACTTTCTCAAATGATGAATATTGTAGAAAGCTGCTGAAAGAGGAGGTTATGGAGGTGAGCGATATGAGCAGCTGGAGTTTCAGCAGAATGTTGCCCTGCATTATAAAATGCTCAGTGATGCATCATGGAAGGTAACAACGTTTTGAAAATATTTGATTCGTCTAGAACTCGGGGGTTATTCACCAAACACTAACCAGGTGAGTATAGCACCTTAACAAGGACCAAGAATCTTACCTGATTAGGGGGAAGTCAAGGATCAACAGTAACCACTTACCAGGTGATAAACGGTTATCATCAATCTATTTTCATTGCCGGAAATGTTACCCAATAAGGTGAGTAAGTTTGGTAACTCTTGCCGTTAAGTTTTTACCTGGTAAGTATTTGGCAAATGACCCCTTAGTGTCCTCCACAAGTGAATTTTGAACGTTTGTGATTTGAAATCCTTTTGATCAATTTGTGAGACGTATCTGATGCTGCATACGAGTGTACGAGTTTTAAATCTTAATTGTGATCAAAACCATTTTTTGTTACGTCAAATGTTGGGTCATTGATATTGATTAAAATATGTTGAACAGATGATAGATGCATGCCTCCCTATGGAAGATATTGAGAAGCAGCTGAAGGAGATGGCGTTGGATTGTTTGACATCTTGCCGAAAAGGGAAATCAATTTCTCACCTCTGGTTGTCATAATTTGATCATGTTATGGTTATTGTCAACAAGTTTTTTTGTCACAATTGATGTCAATATCGACTGAATCTAATCATGAGTATTAAGTTATATTTGCTTAAAAATGTCTTATAATGCTGTTTTAAAAAGTCAAGTTTTATTGTAATGATATTGCATTATAGTTATATTAGGAGGATTAAATATCGTGAGAAAACATATAGGGAAACGGGTTGTTTGTTTACCTCTTAATAGTTTCACTAAGAGGCAACCTTTGAATCATTAAGAGGAAAATCTTGTTTGGCAAAAAAAAGGTTTACCTCTTAATGGTTTTAAAATCCTCAGAAAAATTTTGTATCCTATACCTCTCTTAACCATTTAGGGTGCGTTTGGTACGTGGAACAGGGTGGGACAGGACATGACACACTTGTCCTATGTTTGGTGTGTTTCTAAGTGGAACTAAATGGAACTAAGTGGAACACGTATGGGACAAGCCTGTTCACCCTCACCCCCTGGAACTAAGTGGAATAAGACATATTTTACAAATATACCCATCGATCTCCATCTCCATCTTCGTCGTCTTCTTCTCCATCGATCTCCAGCTCCATCGATTTCTTCACAGGAGACCTTCATCTCCATCGATCTCTTCACAGGAGACCTTCATCTCCATCGATCTCTTCACAGGAGACCTTCATCTCGATCGATCTCCATCTCTATCGATTTCTTCACAGTCCACCTCCATCTCCATCAATCTCCATCTCCATCGATCTCGATCTCCATCTCCATCTCCATCGATCTCGATCTCCATCTCCATCTCCATCGATTTCTTCATTGGAGACCTCCATCTCCATCGATTTCTTCACAGCATCCAAGAACAAAGGTACGGTCAATTTCTCTCGATTTTCTATGTGTTCTATTTGGATTTCACGAACTGGGGTTTGTTCTATTTGATGAAATTCGAAATGATTTTTTTATTGATTGTGTATTTTTAGTTGAATCATGAACCGGGTGTTTGGATTTTGCCTACTGTTTCGTCGTCTTCTTCATAGCATCGATTTCTTCACAGCATCCACCGTCTCCTCCATCTCCATCGATCTTCATAGCTGGTAATCGATTTTGCCTACTGTTTCGATTGATAAATCGATTTTGCYTACTGTTTGGATTGATAAATCGATTTTGCCTACTGTTTCTCAACACACTCGATTTTTCCTATTGTTTCGTCTGATATGTAGTTATGTACTTGAAATGTCACTGGAGGTAAATTGGTCATTTTAACCAGTTCGGTCATGTTCTGTCCTATCCTGTCATGTCTTACCAAACGTTGAACACATGTCCTGTCCTGTCCTGTCATGTTCTGTCCTGTCCTGTCTGCGTACCAAACGCACCCTTAGCGTTCTAATTTCCTTGTAAATAATTACCAAATAATTATATTTCATTTTACATTATACTATGAGAGTCTTTTAATCATAATGCATCGAACTATTCAACAACTGTTTGTGTCAAACAGTTATAAATTCTAAAAAAAATCTATTTAAAGAAATGAACATGTATACTATTATTACAAATTATTTATATCCATTTATATATGCATTCTTAAAAAACTTTTTCAATTATTTACGTATAAATCTTTTTATAATATTTTACTTTATTATTTGAGTTTTCATTTTATATATATATATATATATATATAGGGGGATTAGATTACAAAGTGTCTATTTAATATAAACTATAGAAACCAATTTCAATCAATAGAAAAATTACATATTTTATTCCTTATTTTTAATGAATAAGAGTATGAATGTCATTTTACTTTATAATTGTTAATCTTGGTGATGTTTTAATTGTTTTCAAATATAAAAAATTAAATATAGTAATTGTTTTTATGGAAACTGTAAATCAATTTATTTTAATGTATAATTATTACCACTAATATTTTATATTTTTTTATTAAATTATACTCCTAAAATATAAATTATAAAACTATACTTCTAAAATCAGTTTGATTACAAATAATTAACAGTCTAATCATGTTTCAATAACTATAAATGAAATAGTTTCATATATGGTTCACAACACCATGTCAAAGGATCCATCTTTCATTCAAGATGACAAGTAGTCTCATAAATTCATTCAAAAAACAGTGAAATAGTTTCATATATTGTTTTGTTTTCATTCGTAAAACAAATGTTATTAATGAAACTACGTTATACAATTTTCAAAATGTTACAAAAATGAAACTAATTTCATTTTGGTTATGAACCATAAAACTACTTTCATTAATGTAATAATAGTATTCAAGTCTTGAAATATTTCATTGACTGAACCATATTTGATTTAATTAATAAAACCAATTTCATTTTCGCTATAAACCATGAAATCGATTCCATTTTGGTTAGAAAACATGAAACAAATTTAAAAATGAATGAAATATTATTATTCAGTTCTTGAAATGTTTCATTGACTGAACAATATTTAGTTTNTTATGAAATTATTTATTTCATTGTCATAGTAACAAAATAATTGTCATTTTTTTTATCAATTCACAATTAATTACTAATTTATTAATAATATAGTTGTGATATTTTTCAGATTTTGATATATTGTTTTGTTTTCATTCGTAAAACAAATGTCATTAATGAAACTATGTTATAAAGTTTTCAAAAAAATTTAATAGGAACCATGAAACTACTTTTATTAATGAAATAATAGTATTATGGTCTTGAAATGCTTCATTGATTGAACCATATTTGTTTTCATTAATAAAACCAATTTCATCTTGGCTATAAACCATGAAACTGATTTCATTTTGGTTAGAAAACATGAAACAAATTTAAAAATGAATGAAATATTATTATTCAGTTCTTGAAATGTTTCATTGACTGAACAATATTTAGTTTCATATGTAAAACCGAGTTCATCTTGGTTAGAAACCATGAAACCTATTCCATTTTAGTTACGAAACATTTCAACAATTTTCACTGTTGAAACAATGTCAATCAGTTTTTGGAATTGTGGTGTCCATGAAACTAATTTCAATGATGAAACGAATTTTATTAACGAAAACATGTTATTCAGATTTTTAAAAAATGTTCCATTGACTGATCCTTATCTGGCTCAAATCTCATTATACAGACGAACAATGAAACGCATTTCACTAACGAAAAAAATAAGATACTGTTTCCAAAACATTTTTATTGATGAAATCAATTTCCAAAATGAGACGAACAATGGTTTGCTAATTTTGCCATTTCTTGATTAAATATTAAACCTTTTATTTTATTTTTTACTTTCCTAATATAACATATTTTAATATTGACCATTGATTAAGAAAATGAATTGATAAAATTGATTTATAAGGTTTACACAAAAGATGATGACTTGCATTTTATCGCTCCTTTCTCTCTATATAAAACACAAATCAAATTGCAATCCATGCAACCCAATAGCTTTTAATCTTAACCATTGATCTTTATCTTATTGAGGAGTTTTTCTTTTTAATTTTTTTAAATCAAAAGGGTATTGTTGTCTATTGGTAATAGTTTTTTGATTTAAAAATGAAACCCGTAAAAGTAGGTAACGATTTTGGTTTGAATATCAATTAATATTCATCATATTTTTGGAAACGATTTTGCATCATATTTCTAGCCATGATTTTTCATTATTTTTATTCAAAATCGTTTTTTTATATTGCATAGTTTCAAATCTATTTTTCATTTGTTCTTGATTTCACATATTTTTAACTACTCAAATGACAACAAATTTCATTTATCTAATATCGCGAATAAGCCTTTCGTGAGTGACATTTTTCTGATTTCAATGAACCGAACATGTTCTCGGAAGTTGATATCGATGCAATTTCATGTGGTGGTTCTGAATCCGTTTGTGAAGTTTCTGGCTTGCTATTTTATGTTGTAATTTTTGATGTATTATCGTATAAAATGAACGACGTTTTAAGTTATCAGACATATTCGCTAAATAATCATAGATTAAACCTTACATATATGAAATCATGGTTGTGAATATGTTGAAAGAGGCGTATGTGAAAAAAAAATCATGAAATTGCTTCTAGTAATGAAATCAGGGTTCATGAAATCGGCATTTGGTAAGAAAACCCAGGTCAAGATGCATGATCAAGTATACATCTGTTTCATATGAAAAGGAAATGCACATGATCAAATATATATACGAAAATAACATGGACATGATCAAATATACATATGAAAATAAGATGGACAGGACATGATCAAGTATACATCGATTTCATATATGAAGTTAATAAAAGCCACCCATTCGTCATGTATGGATAAGATGTTAGAAGTCACATATGAAGTCTGAAATATATATTTTGATCATTCACATATGCATATATGCATCTGCTGATTGTTCATATATGGACATATGCATATTTTGATTATTCATATATGCATATATATGCATCTGTTGATTGTTCGTATATGCACGTATGCATATTCTGATTGTTCATGTATGATGAAACCGTTCAAAATCAAAGTAGCCATCGATGAACAAAGAATTAAAATTAATCAAAAAGACCGTGAAATAATAAATAAATTTAAAACTGTTTTGGATATGTATCTTCCAAATTATTTTTTAATTTAAAAAATAAAAAAAATCTTAATAAAAAAAATCTATGATAGAAACCATTTCACGGAATTAGGGGCTTTAGTTTTTTTTATTAATTAATAGAAAATTAAAAAGACAATTTCCCTTTTATTAAAAAATTAATAAATAAAAATCTCCTTAAAAAAGGATAGATGAAGGGTTGAGATTAAAAGAAGGATTGCATTGGTTATAACAATATGAAGGGTCTCATTTGATACCTCTCTATATACAGGCGTAGGTTTATCTGAGAAGTGCTAAATATTTGAGAAGTTGAGAAGTGAGCCTACCTCTTTCATTGAAATATTAACGGTCAATATTTGAAGGGCTAATTGTGCAGCATCAGATAAATTTGGTTGCATGGTAGCAACTATGCGGGAGATAATTTGGTTGTACGGTCAATATTTGAGCGTGAACTCGTGTGATTCACATATGAACTATATATTCATATGTGAATCCGTGCAATTCAAATTTGAACTCTTTAATTAATTCACATATGAACTATTTTATTGATTAATAGATTAATCTTAGATTCACAAATAGCATTATAAC